ACACACAAAAACATGACACAGCTCAAACCGCCACAGGGTCAGCTTTGGGTAACACAAGCCAGATTGTAACTAAGTAGAATTAAAGGATTACATTTCATTTATATATTCAATTGTCTGTCTCTCTGCTTTTCTTCTTATTACCATAGTAATGGGGAGTTTACACTTGGCCTTCTTAAAATATAGACTATTTTCAACTTATCTGAAGAGGAAAATAATACTAATACTTGGTGGAAGGAAAAAAATCTAAAAATGTAATATATAGATATATAATGGAAATACAAAATCAGGCTTGTCACATTTAAAAAAAATGAGATAGGTTTGCAGGTCCTATTCCCATAGGCCTCCTTTTGTCTGCATCCCAGCTTTTCTTCTGTGAATCCGGAATGGTCAATGAGAGGAAAGTCCTTTCTCTTTCAAAGTAGAACTATCCAGTAGCCCATTTTCCCCACTCATCTTACTGTCTATGATTTAAATGGTCACAAATGCCTTGACACTGCCTACATGGAGATGGAGAGTTATATTCCCTCCCCTTGAATTTAGGTAGCCTCTGACTTTTTTTTTTTTTTTAAGAGACAATGGTCTTACTCTGTTGGGTGGTGTGCAGTGTCATAATCCTGGCTCACTGCAGCTCTAAACCCCTGGGTTCAAGCAATTCTCCTACCTCAGCCTACCAAGTAGCTAGGACCACACCCAGCTATTTTTTTGTTACCGTTATCTGTGACAGTACAGTATAGACAGAGTTTTGCTCTTATTGCCTAGGCTGGAGTGCAATGACACAATCTCGGCTCACTGCAACCTCCACCTCCCAGGTTCACATGATTCTCCTGCCTCAGCCTCCCAAGTAGCTGGGATTACAGGCATGTGTCATGACGCCTGGCTAATTTTGTATTTTTAGTAGAGACAGGGTTTCTCCATGTTGGTCAGGCTGGTCTCAAACTCCTGACCTCAGGTGATCTGCCCACCTCGGCCTCCCAAAGTGCTTGGATTACAGGCATGAGCCACCGCAGCCAGCCACACCCAGCTAATTTTTAAAATTTTCTTTTTGGAGACAGGGTTTCAGTATACTTCCCAGGTTGAAGGGCAGTGGCACAATCATAGCTCAGTGCAGCCTTGAACTCCTGGGCTCAAGTGATCCTCCTGCTTCAATCTCCTGAGTAGCTGGGACTACAGGTACTTTCCACTGCACCCAACTCTTTGTGACTATTTTGATAAACAGAATGCTGTGAAAATGATGTGGTCTGATATCTATGCCCAGGCCGTAAGAGAGTGAAATCTTTGCTCTTGGAGCCTGGTGGCTGCCATGTAAGAAGCCTGTATCCGAAAAGAGCCGGCTGAGCCCAACCTTCAGCCATTCCTGCAAAGGGACCAGGTCAGCCACCAGCTGAATACCACAAGCGGCCATTGTTCGAAGTCACTACGTTTTGGGGGTTATTTTATTGCACAGTAATAGATAACCATAGCTTGGTCCTAGAACAAGATGGCAACTTCAGTTTGCTGGCTAAATCAGGCCTGCCTCATGTTTCCACGAAGTTTGATTGGAACTCAGCTACACCTATTTGTTCACACACTGTCTATGTTTGCTTTTCTGCTACAAGAGCAGAGATGAGTAGTTTTGCAAAGGAGTCTATATAGCCAACAAAGCCTAAGATATGACTATCTGGCCCTTTACTTACTTAAAAAGTTTACTGATCTCTCGCCTAGAAAAATCCTTATCCATGAAACCCATACTTTTCTTTCCAGGAGAATATATAACTGACCTGTTGCCGTTCATTATCTAAAGTCTTGCTAGACTAGGAGAAGGAGATCTTAAGCTGACTTTGGCCCAGGCGTAAAACCTTTGAAAAGCTAGTTCTCTGGTCTCAGTTCCCTCATTTGTAAAATGAGGAGACTGGACTAAGTCAGTCTTTCCCTAGACATCTTTCACTGGACCTGTTGGATGCTCAATGGAAAAGCAGAGCTACAGTCACAATTTTAGGGGAAGTTCTGCATACTATTTGTCCTATTGGAGGTGTAAAATACACATTAGCATATTCAGGATTCTATAGTAAAGAAACCAGACTAGATTTGTTCACCTAGGTGTTTTCTCAAACATTTTTGGTATCAGAATTATTTTCTCATAACACTTACTGATATCACATGGGACCCATATAGTAAATAATATAGTCTACGAAATACTATATTGGGTACTCTTTAAAGTCCCTTTTTGCTTCATTTGTCACTGATCTAGGATTAATTCTTCTAGCTACAGAGTTAACTTTTTTTTTTTTTAGACAGAGTCTCGCTCTATCACCCACACTGGAGTGCAGTGGCGCGATCTTGGCTCACTGCAACCTCTGCCTCCTGGGTTCAAATGATTCTCCTGCCTCAGCCTCCCGAGTAGCTGAGACTACAGGTGGAAGCCACCACGCCCAGCTAATTTTTGTATTTTTAGTAGAGACAAGATTTCACCATGTTGGCCAGGATGCTCTCAATCTCTTGATCTTGTGTTCCACCCCTCTTGGTCTCCCAAAGTGCTGGGATTACAGGCATGAGCCACTGCGCCCAGCCTCAGAGTTAACTTTCTTCAGTGCTCTTATGGACTTCTCTTTCCAAAAACTGTTGCCTTTCATTTCTTAGCAATGTGATACTTTGCCAATGTAATTTGCTGACTTTTCAGACTGGAGATAACTGTGGCCAATTAAGTAAGTTGCAAATTAAAATGACACAGTGATCACCAATCTTTGGATGACAATTATAATTATGGTCTTGAAGTAAAGCAGGGGCAAATGCAGATATATTTTAAGATTATTACTGGGTTTTATAATCCAAAGATTTCTTCGCACATGCCAAAATAGAAGATACAATTCCTTCTCAGCATTAATACTGTCTGTGCGATATCAATTAAACATGTTTAATAAAGTGAACTGTTTAGAAAATGTTAAGTACAAGGTAACCTTATTTATCTAGACTGCCTGTTTAAAATTCCAGGTTATCTTACCAACGATACAAAAAGAGAAAGTGTTGATCCTACTGAGTTAATGATAGGGCAAGGCTGTCTTTCCAGTCATAGAGCTGCCTGAAATCTCCGACCTGGGCACAAGTCCTAAGGTAGCTCATGATATTACTTGCTTTTACAGGTACACATATCTTTTCTTGGTTCTAGCTATTTCAGATGTAGCAAACCATATTATATGTACAACTACTCTCAGCAGCTAAAATCCCTCAAACTTAATAGGACACAAGAATTTTCTCTAGTAATTATTAGAATAAATGTTAATAAACTTATTTTCATAAAAATAAAATTTCTCCAATAAATCTCTTGCACTTCTAATTCCATTTAGGTGTCTGCTTCCCAGAAGACCAAACTGATATAACTACCCTTATAAGATTGTACTAAAAATTGGAAATAATAACATAGTTCCTAGCTTTTGATAGCTAGACAACGTAGATTATCTTCCTTCAACTATGAAACTAGGGTCAGGGCTGGGCAATACATTCTTCTATATCTGATCAGTGTTTTAATTATACATTCCACTGTGTAATTGGGCTTCATTATCAGCCGGTGTGAAGTTAAACTTCTTAAAAGAGCACTCCATACTCCAAGCTATCCAAAGTATCTTCGGGGTAGGTAATCAGGTACGTGTGTGTGAGGGTGGATGGAATTAGGGGGTAGGAAATTGTCTTTGGAGCCAGACAGATCTAGAACAGATTGACTCCTAATTTGCTATGTCACCTTAGGGAGATTATTTAATCTCTGTTTTCAGTTGCCTAAACTATAAAATGGGGATAATACAGCCTATCATACTAGGTAACTGTGAAGATTAGAGATAGTCTATGTAGAGCATCTGGCACACTGGCCCATTGTAAGCACCTAATGAAAGGATGCATTGTACTCTTATCATCTGAATATTCATTCATTCACTCATTCAACAAATATATATTATGGGCCTACTATGATAGGGAACTGACATACAACAGTGAGCCAGAGAGGCACAGGTTCTTATAGAGTCCACCAGACCAGACATGGCATCACGCAAAATGTATCCAGTAATTATAATAAGAAAACTTAGATGGTGCTTCTTATGTGCCTGGCACTGTTCTAACAGCTTTACCACATATTCACTCACTCAATCCTTACACCAATCCCATGAGATAGGTATTTGCCCAAGATTACGTAACTAGTTAGTGTGGATTCAAAACCCAAATATCTGGCTCCAGGGTCTGTGCTTTTACCGGTTATGCTGTGTTGCCTCTCTAAACACTTGAATCAGATTTTATGCTTCCATAGAGTTTAAACAATCCTACACAAGTATATAAAACAATCTAGTGAATCCATTGAGTAAGAAGGACAGTTATTTCCTTTACAGAAACATAGGCACAGAAATAGCAAGTCAGTGGAAAAAGAGGAGAGACTGACTGGCCACCGGGGACCCAGTGCCGCGTGATAGCAATTCCCTCTCCCAGCCCAGCCCGCCACTGCTCACCTTCCAACCCAGCAGCTGTTTTCTGGCAATGGCATTAGAAAAAGAGTTGCTGTAATTTCATTTTTCATCTCGCTCAGCCCTGACTCTTTCATCTACTCTAACCACAGGGCCTCTCTAGTTCCAATCAATTCTTGACCTTCAGTGTCATCATCTTTTATGCCTGCTAGAATTTTCTTGCAGAAAAGTTAAAGGAAGATCAAATTGGTATGTTTTCTTTTGTTCTTTTCTTAAGCGAGTCCACATGACTGGAGGCTGGATGCGAAGTGGTTTGCTACATGTTTGCAAAGCAAACAAGGTAGCAGTGAGGAGAGCAGACCCCGGACTCTAAGTTCATTTCTTATTATAAGGCAAATACCATCCACATCTGGATGCCTGAGTAAAAGCAACATAACAGCAGCAGCTTGTTCCAAGAAATCCTTTAGATGACAACATACCATCATCACTATCATTTTCGAATGAAAACGACAACATGGAAAAATAAAAACATCCTCTTATAACCGGTCAAGAATGATTAAGACAAAAAATGATCATACTTACTGGGGGGCATTGTGCAAGTTTATCGGCTGCCACCAGTTGAACATTCAAGTGTTTACTTTGTGACTTTCCTCTAGATTTAATCAACCGCTGTAAAACCTGATAGAAGAAGACATAAACCTGAGGTATTGTAGATGAGTTGAAAGAAAATAAAATAAGCCAGGATCTTTTTAATGGTCTGTTTGGCCCTGAGTATTATTAGAGAGGAAATACAGTGTGAGAAATCATATAGTTAAACCTGTAATAATGTCATCTGCTTACATTTGCGTTCAGTTACCATGGATTTGTTACGTTCATCCTATTCTAACTCTGTGTGAAGTCTCTGTAGGAGCCCAAGTTTTCACCTTAGGTTTTCCTCAGAGATTTCAAAGAGAGCCTTGCAAAAATGGAGGGAGTCGACTGTACCAGTTCGTTTATGTTCAGTAATATTTTAATGTTATTCAGTTGAATAATGTTTCAGCTCACTATCTCCATGTCAGATAAATGTTTCATTTACATATTTGTTATTTTTGTCACCAACTATTAATGAAACATTTCAGTTTAATCTTATTAATCAGACTATTCCATGATTGGAGATCCAGACAAAACATTTGTATTGGTATATTGTTACATGTAAACCGGTGATATATCTATGTCTTTTGGCTACTGCTGTAACTGCATTTGACTATATACTGCCCTCTCCCTTGGTCCTTCCCCTGCAAACAGTGCTAATCTATGAGCTCTATAATACCCCAGAACCCCTGTTCTTACAGTTAAGGACACCATAGTGTCATGGGCAGTGGGAAGGGCTGACCACTCCTGCACTGCAGTGAAATGCTTGAATCCTAGAAGCACTTTTGATCCATTCTACTGATTCTCAAATGGCCCTGTGTGCTCAAGATTCCCAAGTCTACTGCACTAAAGCAACATCTGCAGAGATAGACGGAAGGCTAAGATCTCAGAAAATCTGGAGGAGCATACAGCTTCTTTAGACATTCTCCACCCATGAGAGGAGACTACCATGTTGGTTGGCAGTTGAATTTGTATTTAGGCACCAAAATACAGTAGGAGGCACAGACAAGAAATTGATTATTAAGATGGTACTTCCCAAGGGTATCCATTTCACATTAACTTTTTAAGAACAATATCCTTTTTTAAAAATGAAAGAACACCCAAATCAAAAGAAACCAATGTGGGGCTATTTCACTTTTATTTTTACCTCCCACAATGGTATAAAGATACACAGCAAATTTCCCATTGTGTTTATCATGGAATAACTATATTCTTTAAAGTACCCCACCTAACCACAAACATCAGTGTCCATAATGTTTCCATAAGAGATGTTTAAACAGTGATATTCTGTTTTATATATGATAAATATAGATGCCTTTTTTGATCAATATAAATGTACTCTCTCAACTGGGTACAGAGTCTGGGTGATACAGGAATCAATATCCAAGAGATTTACCAATATAGAATTCATAGTCTATGATAAGCCAGAATCTACTTTTCCACGTCTGTCTTAATGTTTTGTTTCTATTATACACTTACATAACTGTCTGGTTGGGCTCCATAATAGTAGCTTTTAGAAGAAACGAACTATTATAGTCTTTGCTATCTGAAAATTCATAGAATCTGTACACTGTGGAAAGATTTTAAATGTACTTATTAATAATCAGCAAGACGTTCTCCTTGTCCACCAAATCTCCTTGTCCAACCAAAATCCATAGAGCAAAGCACATTTTTAGAAGATGCACTTCTAACCCTTAAGACAGAAAGGAGCTTTCAAAGTCAAGAATGATAAATATATTAAAAAAAAAAGAAAGTTTCTAATCACCTTTGGAGATGAGACTTTTACATGAACAATAATTGGTGCTAAGGAAGTCTTTATAAGTTGTGCTGGGTGATTGATGGTGTCTGCATCAAGAACAACCAGTTGCAACGATCTTGCCAACTCAAAGATTCTTTCAATTTCACTTTGTACTTCCGCTAAAAGGAAAAATAATAAATAGATCCTGGTTATTGTTATGAATTAGTTCTTACATTAATAAGATATAGTATATTTTCAGATATATTGGTCTACATTACAAAACAAAACATTTTAAATTTTTATAGTCCTGTCTAATTTAAGATCTTTTCTAAATATAGATGGAGATGGGTTGAGTTTTGCACACAACCAGTTGGTAGAAAAACCTGAGATGGCTCTCCTGATTTGCTTCTTCTATTCAACATAATATTTAGCTGTTTGTATACCTACAGTGATTGTTTTATGTTGTTTTTGATTGTTGCTTTGTCCTAAAGAACTTCAATGTTAGTCATAGAAGCTGAAACCACATTTAGAAAACAATTGAAATACATGTGCAAAGCAATATCACATGGAAAGCAAATTACAATGAAATATTTCTGTCAACAAAGAATATACTAATACTTTGTCAATCCATTTTTAAAAAAACAAAAACAAAAAGCCCGCAACTCAACTGTTTTGACTGATATGCACATTTTTGTACTACTGGTTGATTATTCTGAGTCTACCCTTAAAACTAATCATGTTACTAAGACTGGTTAGATTTAAGTACGAGAGCCAAGTCACTTGTTCTAAGGCATAATTAGCTTGAATATTAAAAAAAAAAAAGGCCAACTATATTAAAACACTGCAATACATCTAGATGCAAATCTATCTGGCTGGCTGTAACAGTCAAATGACCCAAAACTGTGCACAAGTCTAGTCAAATGAAAAATCTACTTATTTTCAAATGTCTGAAGCAATCCAGTTTCTTTTTTAAAGGAAAACAGATAAGCAATACAGGACGTGGCTTTCTGAAATATAAAAAAATTTATATATATATATATATATTATAAATTACCTGATTTATTGGATCATGCCCAAAGTCTGAATTATACTATTTGATTTTCAGATAATTTTGTTTTTGTTTTTGAGACGGAGTTTTACTCTGTTGCCCAGGCTGGAGCGCAGTGGCATGATCTTGGCTCACTGTAACCTCCACCTCCCAGGTTCAAGCAATTCTTGTGCCTCAGCCTCCCACATAACTGGGATTACAGGCATGCACCACCATGACCAGCTAATTTTTGTATTATTAGTAGAGGTGGGGTTTCACTATGTTGGCCAGGCTGGTCTTGAACTCCCGAGCTCCTGGTCTCCAGTGATCCACCCACCTTGGCATCCCAAAGTGCTAGGACTACAGACATGAGCCTCCTGCCCAGCTGATTTTTTTTTTTTTTTTTGGCTATAGGCGTGACCAAACAATGCTGTAATCTGGCCCGAAGTACATAGAGTAGACAAAGCTATCTAATTTAAATTATTATTATTATTAATTTTTAGTGGCAGGGTCTAATTCTGTACTCCCCATGCTGGAGTACAGTGATTCAATCATGGCTCACTACAGCCTCAACCTTCTGGGTTCAATTGATCCTCCCACCTCAGCTTCCTGAATAGCTGGGACTACGGGTGCACATCACTGTGCGTGGCTAAATTTTTTTATTTTTTGTAGAGACAGGGTCTTAGTATGTTTCCCAGGCTGGTCTTGAACTCCGAAGTCCAAGGAATCCTTCTGCCTTGGCCTCCTGAAGTGTTGGCATCCCAGGTGTGAGCCACCGTGCCCGGCCTTAAATTATCCTAATGATGGCCTAGGGAAAAGGTAATGTTGCTCTAAATATCCCCATTGAAAAGTGTTTGTGATTTGCTTTGCTTATTTAGTGAAAATTCAAGTTCACATTGCCCACCAGAAAATTCTCCCTTCCTTAACCAAAAGGATTGACAGGGTGCGCAGGGTCACGTATGCTCAAGACGCTCATGAAACTCTATTTTCTCGTGTTTTGCATGATTGCATAAAATTCTTATTTCCCATAGAATCATTGAAGTTTAAGGCATATCGGTATTTAAAAGAATGAATTTATGCTCTGGTTTCTCCTCATAACAAATAAATCTTTTGCCTTTTACTAAAAAGGATGAATTTGAAGAGTCAATATATCTATCACTTTCCATGTTATCCAATACCAACAGCCTGAAAGACTTCACATTGCTTGGAAAGGTGACTAGCTTTCAAGATATCAATGAAAATAAAATGGGCTTATTTGCCAAATTCTTCTGAAATCATATTCCACATTTGTTAGTAATAGCATATTTGTCCCATTTTTTTCTCACGTCAGAAACAGTTTTAAAAGAAATGTTTCTTCAGAAGGAAGTTTGGAAAATAAAGTCAATTTTTACTGTATGGGGTATGTTCTCCATTTGCTCTTTTCATTACATTGTCACTGGCTTATGGGAGCTCCTGGCCAGGACTATATGTGAGCAAGCCTATGTTTGCTTAAGCTTCAAATATGAGTATAATATTTTTGGAAGCAGCAAAAAGACATTGAAGCAAGTTGGACTGCCCTGATACAAATAGCCCTCAAGGCACTCTGAGTTTCTGTGTAAATAATTCAGAAATACCTGGGCCCTATTGACTGTGCACCAGCAATGAGGTTAAGCGTGGTTTCTGCCAGGAGCAGAGGGCAGTCACACCTACTGCTTAACCAACACAAAACTCTTAATCAACAGGCAGCTGGGCAGAAGAAGAGAGGTGTTCGGGCAGACCAAGCCAGAAGGGATGCCGCAGCAGGCCACATTAAATACTGGGGTGAGCCCCACATTTGGGTAATATGTATACAGAATGTAATAAATACATTTTATGTGTAAGGCATATTTATCTACATAGCTCATTTTTTTTTTTTTAAAGAAAAATATCTCAGCCAAACCAAACAATCTTGGCTACCCAGACTGATCGTCAGAGGGGTTCCAATGAAAGTTTCCTTATAATCCTATTCTAGTCAAATGAAACCATGGGGAGTTATGGACTATGACGCTGGAGGACCTCGATGAACACTTCTATAGACTGACCACGACTGATCTGGGCCCATCTCTCTGCAGGATCTCTGTCACAAACGATTTTCCTTATATCCAAACCTGTTCCTATTTCTCCCATGCTTCAAACACTTCAATGGCTCCCCAGAGCCAAAGGCAACATTTTCCAAAGTGAGTACTCTAGAACAGTAATCTCATAAGACATCCTGTGAGAAGAAGGTGGTTTTGTGCAAGGGATATATTGCACACTATAATAGCTTCTCTTTAGAATTTCAAACACGCATTACCCTTCATATCTTCAAGGCTCTAAGAAGTCCTGCAGAGAAGAAACCTGTCAGTTTAATTCATCATTTCCAAATTTATTTGACAAGGGAAAACATTCTGAATGTAACAACTCTTACTATGTTGTAAAATTAACATTGCATGGGATCTATTTTGGAGGTCTGTCTCTTCAGCAAGGCACATTAGAACCCTAACCTGTTGGCCTCAGTCTCTTTCAGTCTCTTCTGTTCCTCTCAAATCAAACCCCCAGCTTCTCTGTTCTAAGCATGCTATACACAAATCTACTTGTTTCTCAACAACACATTTTTGTTTATAAGTCGATGCCTTTGTACATTGTTGCCTGCCTTGAAGAACTGGCTCAAATATAACTTCTGAGAAGTCTTCTCACATGTGCCTTGCCCCCTACTCTTCTTTATACCCCTAGCTCTTTGTTCATAATTCTACTGTCACAGAGTATTCTAAGTATCTGTCCCTTCTGTCTCTTTGCCCATGGGTAAGATACCGTGTGTGGGTTATATCTGCATTTTCTAAGTCTAGCATAATGTATGGCACAGAACAAGTGTTCAATAAACATTTGATGAAGGAATCTACAAATGTACATTAACAAGCACACAAATGGATCACATTGTAATATTAATAGATTGCCATGAAATTAACTCCAATGGTTGTGGGTATATGACTTTACAGAGTAAAGGTAAAAACCACGAGCTGAGATAGATTTTGCTTCTTCCTGTTTATACTAACTCGTCCCACCCACCCCACTGACTCTGACAGTAGGGGACTATGTTGTAAGGAATGACTTCAGTGAATACCCGTGAAGCCCTTGGCAAGCGTCAATGGTTAAAGGAGTCAGACAACCTGGCTTAAGCTTTTAAGTATCTTTTAGCCTTTCATTATACATTAGAAGAAGGAGTAGTTAAAAGCCAAAGACACTATGAGGAGTTACAAAAAGGGTAAAGACAGGAGAGCAGAGAATGGATGCTTGCTTATCTTCAATCTAACTTAATGTCCTTGTCACTGATGATATTTGACTTTTGTCATTACCTAATAGGATTCACCATCCACACTGCCACGATCAAATTACTGTGCCTTTGAGCATGTTTCCCTCTGCATGTGGAAGGCTCTAAATACAAGACTAAAGAAGGAACCACTAATCACTGGGATCTTCCCCTCACAAGCACTGACCACTATTCTATTTGGTATGTTCAGTATTCTTTCACAAAGCAACCATCCAACAAACATTTATTAGCAATTATTATGTGCCAATCCCATGTCAGGAATACACAGATAATACTTTGTACCTTGTTTACAAATTGCACAATCTTTGGCTCAAGGTCAGCAGGTTCTTAATGTGATGTTAGGACATGTACTCTGTCTTGGAAATCTTAATTTTGTTTTCTATCATCTATAGAGCTAATTTCAACAGTTTAAAAAATGTAACGCATGGAAGAGCCCTATCTGTCCTTCCTAGTCAAAACAAGTTGCCCTCAGAATATGAATATAAAGAGAATTCTAGAAGTCATGAGTGAATTACACCACCCTTGGCAATCAGGGAGACCATGACAGGCTTTCAAGATGAACGATGTGATTCACCAGCACTAGGACTCGCTTCTGTGGGCGGTGATTTTATCCTCCACAGCCCTGCTCACCTATGGCTTGATGGAGGTACTCACTTACAGCCTTTTTTTCTCCTCCATCATGGGGAATTTTAGGATGCTTTCTGACTGGCACCCCAGGACAGACACGTTTAAAGGCCTTGTATGTTACTAACGGTAATTGCCATTTCCTCTTAAAATGTCATTCTGTATGCTAACAGCTAGCAGCAGAAGCAACATCAAGAACATCATTATCTAGCTTTTCTTCCAAAGATCTCAGAAGGCTGTACACCTTGTTTCCTTTCATGTCAGGTGTAACTCAGGTTTGACAAATATCATCAGCCTCATTGAGAAGCTGAGCAAAGCAGAGATGAATGGTTTCACGTGGTTAGGTAGGAAAAGACTAGGAGAGCCTGTTGAGGATTCTTTCCACCAGACTACTAATTAGCTAATTGACTAAAGCTGAGAGACAGCAGGCTCTGGCTACTGCAAGACTGCTGCCTTCTTGCCCGTAGCTAGCGTTCTCTTCAGGTACTCAGTGCTCCCCTATTTAGAATGGGGAACAAATTGGAAAAGACATTCACAAATGCACCATGCATCAGCCAGGTCTGTAAGCACAGCTTGAAGAAGTACCACATTTGAACATCTTACCTAAGCTGGACCGGGTGTTCGAACGTTCAATTATTGCTCTCTTGCTGGGATTATTTAGGACAGACCTCTTAGCAAGAGAAATGTCAGCTGTCACTCTCGTTATTGATATCCTATGAATAGGAACACAGAACAGAACAAGCCAGTAAAAATGTTATGAGGCTCTCCAAGTGATTTATAACCACAGACTTAATAACCAATTTACATGCTACAGGAGAACCACAGTTTAATAAACATTGGCCACAAGTATTTTAAACAGGCTCTGGCTAGTATCAGAATGCAAGCAGAGCAGCATGGAGGAAGGTTTAAGCTATTTCACAGACAAAAAAAAACCTACTCCAATAGAAATGTTCTTCCTCCATTATGGCCTGCCTTGCTGAATTCCCTTTATAATACATACCATACCAGGAAGGAATCAAAACATAAATAAGCCATGCTCTTTCTGGGAAGCAGCAATGAAATTTGCCACAATTCATAGTTGATTTGCTCTTGAATAAGACCTTCAGGAACTACAAATGCTTTGCCTTGGCATTTCAATGATGCAGGTCAAAGCTGGGAAACCCTCTTCATTTTGATTAATAAAGACAATTAACTAGTGGGTGGTTAAGTTGCATTCCTTTATAAAATACATGTGATTCTCCACAGGCCCAAAGGGATGCTTCATTTGTAAAAATGTGAAAAAACTTGTTTTAGTGTTTTCTGCACTCATAGGATTCTTCAGCACATTTGCATATGACTTTGAATGCACACAGCGGGCAGTCATAAGGCACCCGAGTTGAGAACAATTTGAGTATTGTGCCAGGATTTGCTAAGTTAGAAAGTATCCTGTGGTCATGCAAGAGAAGAATAAAGTAGGGCCGGGCATGGTGGCTCACGCCTGCAATCCCAGCACTTTGGGAAGCCAAGGTGGGTGGATCATTTGAGGTCAGAAGTTTGAGACTAGCCTGGCCAACAAGGCAAAACTCCATCTCTACTAAAATACAAAAATTAGCCAGGTGTGGTGGTGCAGGCCTGCAGTCCCAGCTACTTGGGAGGCTGAGGTGGGAAGGTCATTTGAGCCCGGGGAACAGAGGGTGCAGTGAGCCAAGATCACACCACTAAACTCCAGCCTGGGAGACAGAGTGAGACCCTGTCTCAAAAATAAAAAATAAAAAAAAAGAGAGGGAGAGAGAGACAGAGAAGAATAAAGCAAAAGACATTGCAAATAAATGCAGAGGGGCATCTATTTGCAAATGATTTATCAAATGAGAACATCTGGAACTTAGAATTTAAAGACTGTTTTAAACTGAGATTGCTCAACTTCCATTTATCTACCAGTAGAATTCAAAGTTTGCCTCTTTAAGCCAGTTACTGTCACCATTGGCCTTTCTCCATTACTATCTTCACAGCTTGGTAGAGTTTCCAGAAAGGAGACAAGGAAGATAGCACCCCTCCCCTTTTATACTCAGTTAGTACATCCATTCTCTTCCGTTTTCAAACCCTATGGGGATTGAAGTAGGAAAGAGGGTAGAGTTATTAACAATTACTGAATCGGATGTCATCTCACAACTGTCTGGGGACAATACTGCCAGCACTCTCAAGAGACTTTAGCTAACTTCAGTGACCTAAAACCTTGGGGAGAATTTAAAATAGTCCTTTCCTCAGATAGTTGGAAATCATTCTTTACCATAGTCTGTGCGAAAGTTCTGGTGCCATTTGGAAGCAAAGCACTGCTTGCCTGAGTCATTACGTTTATAAGCTATAGGTTGTCAGGTAGTTTTCAATTCTTAAGTTTTTAGAATGTTAGACTCTAATAATTATTTGATGCATTTTCAAATTGTCTCCCGGAGAAACCAAGAGAGTTTGCGGATGCAAAGAAAACCAAGAGATTTTGCAGATCTCAGGGACGTTCTGAGGACTACAGGAAGGTTCAGTGGGCTCCAGCTTCACTATGGAGCCAGGAAAATACATCTGCATTTCTGTTTCCTGCATTGGAGTTTTATATATGATTTCACTATGAAAAGCTGTTCAACTGCTAAAAGACACTGGAAAACACTGGTGTAAAACTTTTTGATTTTACGAAGAAAGAAACTGAAACACAGAAAGTTGCACGTGGTTAGCTGCAGCTCAGGTCTAAACCAGCCCCTGGGCATCAGGCCAGTGCCAAGTCACCTGACTCCACCATTCTTTTACAGTTCAGTGTTCTACAAGCCCAAATCACCAGATATGAATCAAATGGTCAAGCACAGATGTACAGTCAGTCTTGGCCTTGCTCTGAGATGGTGAGGATTTAAGTCAAGCTGAGGTAGGGTAAACCCACATCTGACTTTACATTACTAATTGGCCACTGCAGCTTTCAGGCACAACGTCTCATAGGCATCTCCTTTCCTTTCCAGAAAAGGGTTTGTGTGGTTTTTAAATTTTATTTTATTTTATTTACATTTTGAGCTCCGTCACCCAGGCTGGAGTGCAGTGGTGCAAACTTAGCTCACTGCAACCTCCACCTCCCAGGTTCAAGCAATCCTCCTGCCTCAGCCTCCCAAGTAGCTGGGATTACAAGCATGTGCCACAACACCCAGCTAATTTTTGTATGTTTACTAGAGACGGGGTTTCACCATGTTGGCCAGGCTGGTCTCAAACTCCTGACCTCAGGTGATCTACCCGCCTCAGCCTCCCAATGTGCTGGGATTATAGGTGTGAGCCACCATGCCCAGGAATGTGTGTTTATTTTTGTGTTTTTGGGTTTCTGGTTTACTTGCTTTAAGAATGTAGCTGCTGGGTAGAAACATACAGTCATGTTTCAGAGCAATCCAAATATATGACGAGAGACAAGTAGATACGTTTAGGGACAGAATTCAACTTTCTAGGCTAATGATTTTTGGAGAGCCCAACAACCCAGAAAGTCGATTTCTATTCTGCTTAAATGACAATCAGATTTTCTAGTTTGATACAAACAAGAGACTCTTGGTTCTTGATATTGAAGGGATTATCATCAGACACTCATTTATTTTTTCTGAGTTATAAAAGTACTTTCACAAAGCTATTTTCAAACATGACCAAAGGTTGAAAACATTCAGAAAAAAACTGCTTCAGGCCGGGCGCGGTGGCTCAAGCCTGTAATCCCAGCACTTTGGGAGGCTGAGGCGGGTGGATCACGAGGTCAAGAGATCGAGACCATCCTGGTCAACATGGTGAAACCCCGTCTCTACTAAAAATACAAAAAATTAGCTGGGCATGGTGGCGCGTGCCTGTAATCCCAGCTACTCAGGAGGCTGAGGCGGGAGAATTGCCTGAACCCAGGAGGCAGAGGTTGCGGTGAGCCAAGATCGCGCCATTGCACCCCAGCCTGGGTAACAAGAGCGAAACTCCGTCTCAAAAAAAAAAAAAAAAAAAAAAAAGAAAAAAACTGCTTCATATGTTCCAAAAATAGAAAAAGATGCAAACACTAAAGGGTGCTTTTTCTCATTTTACTTGCTAATACAAGTCAGTTTGCTAATACAAGTTATTTATTAATAAAAATACACATACATCAATCAGGGCTCAGAAGAAGACAGACACAACCCTAGAAAACCTTCAATATGACAAAGTAGGAGATTCTCTTTTCTATGCAAAGATGCTTACTATTATCAAAATCATACACCAAACCCAAAATTCTTTTTTGTAAAAGGATCTCCAGAAAAGCAATCACATTCACCACTGAATGCTATCTAGCTTATATATTTTTTTATTTTAACTTAGAGTGGTATCCTTTCTACTTCTTTCCTTGCTATGCTGAGAGCCCCTAGTGTGTTTCAGCATTCCCATGCACCTAGTTTGATATACATCTCTAAAGAGTTCCCTTGGAAATCTTTCTGTGACTTGCTGTTGGCAGATACTGGCCAATAGGTAAAAGACTAATAAGAGTTTAGTTACCCAGCAGACTGGGTGTAGCAGCAAATGTTACTGAAAACTAGCAAACATCATTCCCTAAATTCAGGAAATCTGAACCCCAACTGTTGCTTATTTCCACTTTAGAATTCATCCAACTGCTGCAATCCATCATAAGTTGTGAGTATTATTGATTTTCTGTGGAAAGATACTAATTTCAGTTATGACACATTCATTCAAAAATAATGTGTATTTCCATGCTGGTAACATACTAGCTGTAAGATCTGTCTATATTCTATCCTTGCTACATTCAATATGCAGCCCAAACAGTATAATAATTTTTGAAAACTTCTAGTATTAGAAGGGAAAAGGGTTCCAAAGAATGGAACAGTGTACTTTCAAGAGAAATGAAAGACACAGGATGGCACCCAAGTATTTTCCTGGATATTTCTCTTGGTAGTTGCACAAATCATTACATCTTTTGACCTCAGTATCCTAATCAATAAAATGGCAACAGTAGCTTTGCCATAACTATCTCATGGGATTGCCATTAAGAGCAAATAAGGTAATATATAAAGTGCATTCTTAAATATTCATAGTGTCCTCTATTAAGAAAACACACATATAATGTATACAAGGTAAACAATTATTGAAGATTAAAAGACTTAAAGGATATATATATCCTTATATCCTACTCTCAAAAGTGGGCAGTGTACCATGACCTCTCCCATTCCCAGAGTCTGTGAAATGGAGGTGGGAGAATCAGGTCAGATGCATTGTACTCAAAAGTTTTAAATATACTCAAAAGTTTTAAATATTTAAATTAAATGTACTCAAAAGTTTTAAATATTTAAATTAAATATTTTGTACTCTGAATATTTAAATTTACTAATTTAAATATTCAAGTTTGACACCAAAGTGTTCAATTAGTTATTTCTGGAACGTAGCTGTTTATGAGTCTGCATTTGAATAGAGAACAGTAAGAAGAATGTATAGGAGAATGAAATTGATTACAAAACGTATAGGAGAATGAAATTGATCACAGAACAGAAGCTGCTGCTGTTTTTTTTTCTGTTTGTTGTCTACAATTAGAAATTATCTTCATTCTTATACAGCTTGGTTGCTTGTGATAACATCAACTGTTCCCATTTCCTTTTATTAATAAATACTATCTCTTTGAGTCTCCCTAAGTTGTATGCTTAGCTTCTTTTCTTTCAAAGTATTTCTCGAGCCCTTTTTTTCCTTTATGTATTCTTTGGCTAAAAGCATCCTTTAGCTTAAGATCTTATCTGTGTAGGTTACATGATGTTCATCTAAGATTTTTAGCCATGATCATATCAGTTACAAATTGTACAATAAATGTCATAGAGTTGATCTTATCCAGTTGTCAAAAAGCCTAAAGTAACAACTTTTTGGAGGATTTGAAATGATTGGCATAGGTCAAAAAACTGCAGCTGGTTTGACTGCTGGCTGTTCAGCCTGTGAATGGTAGATTCAGCCAGCTGAACAAATCTCATCTGAAAAGGTGATCTCCGATTATTGTTTGTGGAGTGAAATGAAGAAAGAAGCTCCATGCCTAATGTGTATCTACTGTGTCCTCGTCAGCACGGGAATCATTGCTGCATGTGGATATTCACATATACAGAGGGCGCTCAGGAACTATGTAGTATTGTTTTTCTTACATGTATTATAGTTAGACCCCACAATAGCAGTTATACCAATAAAATTGTATAATAAGTAGCTCTAAACTGACTCAAATCATTTATTTTATTTTATTTCTTTCTTTTTTTATTTTTTGAGACAGAGTTTCACACTTGCTGTCCAGGTTGGAGTGCAATGACACAAGCTCAGCTCACTGCAACCCCCACCTCCTGGGTTCAAGCGATTCTCCTGCCTCAGCCTCCTAGATAGGATTATAGGCATGCGCCACCATGCCTGGCTAATTTTGTATTTTTATAAGAGATGGGTTTCTACATGTTGGTCAGGCTGGTCTTGAACTCCTGACCTCAGGTGATCCACCTGCCTCAGCCTCCCAAAGTGCCTTAGTCATTCCTAAAGTATCAAAAAAAAAAAAAAATCCCAAGTTTATGATTCTGCAATAGTCAAACTGCTGGACTTTCATCCAATTTGTTGAATTATTTTCTACTAAGATCTCAAAAGCAGATTAAAGAAGAAAGCCTCATAGCCAACAGATCCCTTCTTTGTACTTTCTGAAAAATAGTAAGACTTTCTCCTATTTTGCCTAATGTACTGCATTCACAGCCTATGAAACATAGAGTAGGTTTTCATTAGAACATATTGTTTATGCTGTATCACTGTGCTAAAGCTTTCCTTGTCACTGTTCTAAGCTTGGCTGATTTCAATTAAAGACTATTTGTTGTTTTTCTCTCCTTGTATCAACTGGTAAAACATAATGCAGCATAAAATTATAGCTCAATAGCTAACAATATACCCCACGAAGAAGACATATCAGAGTCAGTGCGAAGCTACTATGCAATCTCTTCTTTCTTATCAAAGTCTCCACATACAATCAACCAATGAACTCATTATTGTTTATTCTGCTGCCTGGCCTCTTAATATTTTAAATCAAGTCCATTCTGTCTCCCTTCACCCCTTTAATATCTATCTATCTTTCTCCAGCCCTGCCATACATCAGATTGCTCCAGGGCCACGTCTCTATCTTCAGCTATTACTTTTGCTGCTGCTGTGCCCTTCTTCCAGATCCTCTACCATGTCATCAGACCCCATGAACACTTGATATTGAAATTTTCCTTCTATTTCTATTAAAACCAACTTCAATAGTACGTGTACAGTAACAGATGCAGACAATTATACTTGATTCAATACAAATCTCTGCCATTACAGTTAAATAAATTCCCTTTTTCTGGGCCTCAGGATTGAGGAAGAACATCAGATTCTTCATTCTTGAAGGCAAACCTTTAACAACACTGTTGTGTATAAGTATGTCATAGACCAAAATAATCAAACACAAATGTAGGCTGTCTTATGGATGGGATTTGTTCAGGCCGGGCTGTTATGGGGCCAGTGGATTTGGCACTGCTCAGAACTGCCTTAGGTAACAGCCCCACTGGTTGAACCATGTGACTCCATGCATATCTGAAGGAAGTGTGCATGTGCCACCAAGAACACAGACGACTTGGCTCATGCATGTTGGCTGCCTTCAATCCACAGGGACCTGCATGAGGGTTAAAGTTAAGGCCAGAACATCAGAACACCAACCCTATTAAGTTACAAAGTCAGAGCTCATCTGTTTCTTTGTAATGCTTTTTTAGAAAGTGAATTCCCAAAAGCCAAAAGTTTCAAACAGAAATAGGTTGTCTGATTGTAGTTGCTGGAGAAGGGAGATTAGTCTAAAAGAAATTTTACATATTTTTCCAACCTCAATGCTCTAGTATTCAGGGCTTTTAATTTATTTTTTTTGAAGCTACTTCATTATCTGCCTATTTCCTTTTTAAAGATAGTGGAATAGAATAAATACATCTTTCTTATTAAGACTTTGTCCAGTAGATGAATGTGAAAAAGACTATCATTGGTTCAACAAATTCTGTCTCCTCTTCCTCCAGGACTGTAAGACTGTATTTCCCAGCCTCTGTTGCAATCAAGTATGACCATATAACCAAGTTCTAATCAGTGAAATGTGAGTAATAAAGTACACTGCCTCCCACCAAGCTGACTGGAGACATCATAACTGGGCTAAGGGCCCCAAATGACAGAGGGAACAAACTTTCTGTCCAATTCTCCCTTCTCCCCACTCCAGCCTTCCTCCCAGCTAAGGAACACTTCCCTCAGACTGTTGAGTGAGCAACAATAAGCTTCCACTGTGTTTGAAACATTAGATACTTTGGGGTCTATTCATTAAGGCAGCCTGACCTATATACTAATGTACCTAGAAGCACTCTTATTTCTTAAGCTAAAATCTCAGTTTACTTTCTTTCTATACAGTTCCAGAAACTAATGAATATTTAACCCAATTATCCAGAAACCTTTTATTTTAATAAATATATACAATTTATATTTAAAGCAATATCGTTTGTTTTTATTCTTAATATACCAATTTATTAAAATCTATCTGAAGTTTTTTTACACTTTAAAATTCCATGCATTTAGTGCATTCTCATAATTTAGCAAAGAGAGAGTGAGGTCTCAATTACTGCCTTTGAAAATAAAAAATGTGACGTTCTTCCTCAATCCTACAGTGATAAATTAAATGCATTTACCCATACTTTTTGATGCACACTATTTAAATTTTCTATATTTCTGGCAAGTCCTCAGGTTTTTTTAATGCGGTTATTTTTACATGGACTGCATTCTGCCTTGTGAAAGAGCTTAATATGTAGGATTGAGTCAATACAGGCTTTTTACTGTTTATCTGCAAAACACAGAAACTTTCTCTAGACATTTTTCATAAAACTTAAATGATAAAGTTTAACAGCTAATGCCTGAGTCATATTGTTAATGGATCATAGTAAGATACTTTAAGAAATAGATCAATAAAACAAGGACACTTCTAATAATAACAAGCCCACAACTATAATAAACATCGAAAAAAGTACTATTCCCTACAAAATGATCACTTTGGAAGGTTTATGATGTAAAGAATTCTCACTCTCTTCTTTTGAGGAAATTCAGTACTTGATATTTATATTTTCATATGATACACACACACACACACACACACACACACACGCACATGCACAATTCCCAAATATTGCCTAGCTTGACCAGCAAGCCACTATATTCATCAGAAATATTATATGTTTTAATTAATATTTTTTCACAAAAACCATTTTGGTATGAAATTGTTAGTAACTGAGATAATAAAGACATATAAATTAAAATAAAACAAATGGCTTATTTATCTTCTCATAGTCCTTTTTTCCTTGGGGCCTTAATGTTATACTTCATATTTTCAGAGCTCCTTTATTATATTCTTCCCAAGAATACTGAATTAACTTTTCATTAGAGAACTTCTGAAATCTCTGGAAACATAGATCTACAATTCAATTTATCATTCAAGTTTGGTTAAAGAAAAATAAAAATACAAAAACATCTATATTTCTCACCTCCCATCAAACCTGTGCTTCAGGAAATCAAAGAGGGCTTTCTGCATCATGTCTGTTACCTTTGCAGAGGTGAGAAAAAAAGAATGAGGCAAAAACACATAGAGAGAGAGAAAGAAGTCAAAAGTGAGAGAGAGGTGGGAGGGAAGAGCACTATGAGCCAAGACCTTATTGCAGCCAGTTGTCTCCTAGGGGCAGGTTACCATGGAAGGTGCTTTTCATGCTTAACCATGTGCAGTTGCTAATTTCCACCCCCCCGCACCGGTTCTCCTCCAGGGTGTTGAGGAATAAACCAGCAGTGTTCACCAGACCCTCTTCCCTCTTTCCTTGTTGGGGATCAAACCGCTGCCAGGAGACAAAAGGCTGGCTTTGAACACAGGTGCCAGGTATCCTTGGCACACCTGCATTGTGCCTGCCTCCAGTGAGGAGCAGTTAGAGAATTGAGGCCAGCACTGGACTCAGCCGTCCTGCTGGTTTGTGCATGTTGGTGGAAATTCTCCATGCCCATGGCTGGATTTTTGTAGACTACTCTCCTGCTCATCCCTCTGACATTTCCAACTCAGAGATAGACAAGAGAGAAAGAGAGGGAGAGAGAGCGAGGATTCTTAGATCTGCCTGAAAGAGATTCATTAATTCATTCAGCAAATGTGTACTGAGTGCCTACTATGTGCCACACATTGTCCCAGCTCAATGGGAATGGTGCCCCAGAGACTGCTCACCTTCAGAGTTCAATGTCACATCTACCTATTTTTTCATCCATGCTAGCACAAGGTCAAAACAGAAGCATCTGAAACGAAGTCTCTACTCTCTTTCTTGTCACAAGGTTTTGTTTAATCTCCAAAGTTCACTAATGTTTTTAGTGGTCTTTTCAAAAATGTGTCCTTTAAAATAAATAAGCAAGAAGCATTTGGTGGCATATGCCATCAACTTAAACAGCCGGCAGGGTGAGCTCTGTTAGTGCTTTAAAGGTTTGGATTTGCTGGAAGATTGATTGTTTGTCCCCTTGTGCTGTTCCTTCTCTATTATTTCTAATAATAGTGAGAATGGTCAAGACAGATAAAGTCCTTTTCTTTGTATTTAATGCACAGTAAATCTTTGACCAGATCGTCCCATTGTGAATATTTTCAAGGAGGTATTTCTAAACAATGTAATATATAAAAGATAAGAAGTGTGCAAGAAAGGAAAGAAAGGGCAAAGGACCTCATGAGCCCTCCACAGTACCCCCTGCCTTCCCATGCTGAGCATTGGCTTCCATCAGGACCCACATGGAAGCAGACCCTGGAGGAGCAAGTGCCAGCATGACTGTCTCCCGTGTGCTCGATCAAGAACTGAAGAGTAACAGATGATATTTGTACCTCATAACCTTTCAGTGATGGCCCCACTAACACCACCGGACGCATGGATGGCACAACATCGTAAGGAGGAATGTGCTCCGTCTGAAAAAGATGATTCGACACACGTAACAAGGTGAGGCTGAACATGCCTCAGCAGACACAGCATTCATAATTCTCAGGTCGAACGACAAATGATTATCAAAGGTCCCCACCAAGGAGGCTCTTCCCTTATTTTATAGCCACTTGGGTCACTGAGATGGAGCATGGCAGGCATGTATGTATAGGAACCTTAACAGTAGATTTAAAAAGGAAATACAACTTACCACTTTTTGCTTCTGTTTTGCTAAAAGACAATAACGAGAGCCATATCAAAATATGTAATCTCTGCAAATGACAGTACACGAGTTTAAGAGACTGAAGAATGTACCCATTTGTCCCTGTAATTATCTTCACCACTTTCCTATCGCCCACTCTGGAGAACCTGCTTTGTGATTTCATTCTGGACATGTCAATTTTGAAGATGTAAGAAACAGACAGCTTCCTCCCTGGTACAAACGACCTTGTATCCTGATTTCTCAATGGGTAGGAGTGGGGACAGGAGTTCAGAACAACATTGGAAGTTCCAGGCCAGTCATTCACCATGGGTTGCTCTCGTGCTGAACACAGCACAGTGTTGCTGGAAACAAGTTGGACAAATGCAATTTCATAAAAGGAAACAGAATAACTATTTGGGCAAAAATGACCATCACCTCAATCACTAGTTATTTTTATATTTGTAACTTTGATAATCCATGAGCTAATTCTGCAGTCCCTTGGGCATTTTTGCCTATTTTCTAGAATATTGGCACATTTGTTTCCTACCATGTTGCTTTTAAATTTCAAATAAATTTGTAACTAGTTATTCCTCAGATAAACCTATAACCAGTTATTCCTGTTCTTTCCTGTTTGTAATAGCTAAAGTCTGCACTGTCCTGACATCTAACAAATGGGAACAAGGTAAAATATACTCGATCTCTAATTTAAAGTGATTCTGTGGACATCCAAGCAGGTCCAGTCTATTTGGGTACAACTCAGAAACCTGGTTTGGTTCAGTGTCCTGTAGGTCAGAGGGCTTCACATGAACAAGGACCCAGATACTTAGAACCATTCCAGAACCAATCCGGTTGCCTGCAGTTTTGGTAGGCCAGAATAGGGCCTTGGACTTGCCATTCCGAATTGGTAATACAACTGGAATTGATAACCAGGGCACTGGATGCCCTAATGCAGCAGCAGTTGTGGGCCAGAATGAAACTAGCCAGTAGGAGTCAGGGAATGTGGCAGAAGAAAAGTGCCTGCATGAAGACCTCCACAGTTTCCAAACGCACCACAACTCCCTATTATGCCACCACTGTCTCTTCATTACCGTTAATTCCAGGGCTCAGTTGCCTCCTGTCCAAATGGAAACAAGGCCCTCCCTCATTTGGGCCCTGCCTGAGTCTCTGCTTCAACCCTCCCAGCCCAGGCTGTGCCCATACATCCTGAAGTTCCAGATGGAGACCGAAAACAGGATTTTCTTGAGAGTCTGCAAACATTTTTTTCCTTTCTGTATTGGCCCTCACCATCTTAAAGTCTGTCAGTTTCTTAGGTAAAATAACAAATGTTTTGAAGATCAGTTTACACAATGGACAGTTATTAACTCTGGGGGGTAAATAAGATTTGTCAAAATTACATTATAATGACCTGAATTGGTAGTACCGTTAGTTACTATTTAAATCAAATCAAATTACCATAGAAAACAAATGAGAAATGAAATGCTAGAGAGAAAAGCCTTTAAATTAAGCCTTCAAATCATTTCCAAATTAGCAAAAATAGTTGCATGTGTGTTCAAATATATTACAAAGGAATATATTCTATGAAAAACAGTTTAACTAAACTCTCACCTGTTGATGTGGGAGTTGCTCGAAATGTCCCTGATACCATTTCTCCAAGACTTGAAGAAGAATTTCCACTTGATTTCCTAGGATATAGAAAAGGAACTAAAGACTCACTCCCCCAATTCTTTGAAAACAGAACTTAAGAGTACAAAGCCTTCTTTGTCCTTCATCCTATTAAATAATTCAAAACACACAAATTTCTGCTACAAAGAACTTCAAGAATCTGTCCAAATGTTTTCTTTGACTTCATTTCTAAAAGAATGTGGGGAACTAGCCGAGACCTGGAATACTTTGCAAAAGCATCTCTTCTAGTTACTCAGTGTGGACGTCAGGCAAAGCCATCACTGACAGGAATGTTCTTATGAACTGTTAACCTAACACCAGGCACCAATATGCCAGTCAGACATCAAACACAGCTCAAAACAAGCAGTAAGCCCATTTCTTCTTACAAGATGATTATGTGGGCATCAGAGTTAAGAACTGACCATGAGGAATTGGTCACAAAAACATATTATTTACTTGAATGGAAGATCCTCAAGTCTGCCCTTCTCAGGTGTGCTCTGAAGGCTTCCCTGAAGCCCACAAACGCCATCGGGAGCTGCCACCTTCTTACTTCCCCAGTGCCTCTCTCTTTTAGTCCGTAAGAGTATCGTCCCTATAGTCAGAAAAATCTGATCTCTCATCCTAGCTCTGCCGCTTACTAGCTGTGGTACTGTGGCACATCATAATGTCTTTGAGCCTTAGGTTCCCCACCTACAGAAGGATTTGCCACAGCTCACACGGTTGGTATAAAGATCAAATAAAATGTCTGTGAGCTCTTGGCTTTACTATTGTGGCTGCCATGAGGTAAGTTTTTAGTTCAAAAGTATATATAGTTGGCTGGGCGTGATGGCTCACGCCTGTAATCCCAAGGTGGAAGAGCAAGGTGGGTGGATCACCTGGGGTTGGGAGTTTGAGATCAGCCTGGCCAAAGTGGTGAAGCCCTGTCTCTACTAAAAATACAAAAATTAAATTAGCCAGGCGTGGTGGCATGCGCCTGTAATCCCAGCTATTCCAGAAGCTGAGGCAGGAGAATTGCTTGAACCTGGGAGATGGAGGTTGCAGTGAGGCCAGATTGCACCACTGCACTCCAGCCTGGGCAACACAGCGAGACTCTGTCTCAGGAAAAAAAAAAAAAGTTTATACAGTCATGGGAGGCTTACGAATGGGGTTATCTTCTGAGGAATGTGTCATTAGGCAATTTCATTGTCGTGTGGACACTGTAGAGCACACACCTAGATGGCACAGCATACTCCATACCTAGGCTATATCATGTAGCCTATTGCTCCTGGGCTATAAACCTGTATAGAATGTTACTATACTGAACACTGTAGATAACTCTAACACAGTGGCATTTCTGTATCTAAACATAGAAAAGATATAATAAAAATACAGTATTATAATCTTATGGGACCACCATCATATGTGTGATCATCACGGACAAAAATGTTATATGACCCATGACTGTAACAATTAAGAAATAATAATAACAACAAAACTTTGAAAATGATAATAATTCAGTTATTTTATTCAACAAATATTGATTGTACATCCCTGCTTTAGAAAGTAGAAATATAACAGTGGCATTGAGGAGACAAAATCCACTCCCTTACTGAGTCATATACTAACAGGACATATCAATACAGGTTGAATATCTCTTATCCAAAATGCTTGGGAGCAGAAATGTTTTGGGTTTCCATGTTTTTCAGATTTCGGAAGTTTGCACTATATATTTACCACTTGAACGTCCCTAATCCAAACGTCCGAAATCTAAAATGCTCTGATGAGCATCTCCTTCGGGCATCATGTCAGTCCTTAAAAAGTTTTGAATTTTGGAGCATTCTGTATTTCATCTTTTCAGATTGTGGATGCTCGGCTTGTATGAAACAACATAAATAAGTAAATAGATAATAATGCTAAGAGTAGTAAGTGCAATAGAGAAAACTAAGTCAGGGAAGGGATGGGAAGTACAGGGAAGGGAAGTGGGCACAATTTTAAATGCAGTTGGCAGGAAAAGGGTCACTGGAAAGGTTATATCTAACACAGATATAAAGCAGATAGAGTGGTCTGGTGAAAATGTGATGAAAAAGGTTCCAGGAAGAAAAAAACAGCAACTGCAAAGACCCCAAGACTGGAACGCATGTTCTCCATGTGTTTAAGAAGGAGCATGAAAGACAAAAAGTTTAGAAAAAAAACGGATGATACGGTTTGGATCTGTGTCTCCAGCAAATCTCATGTTAAGATGTAGTCCCCAGTGTTGGAGGTGAGGCCTGGTGAGAGGTGACTGGACCGTGGGGGTGGTCCTTTATGAATGGTTTGGCACCATCTCCTGGTGCTATTCTTGTGATAGTGAGTGAGTTATCATAAGATCTGACTGAAAGTATGTAGCACCTCTTCCCCTTTCTCTCTCTTCCTCCTGCTCTGGCCATGTAAGACACCTGCTCCCGCCTTGCCTTCTGCTACCAGTAAAAGCTCCCCGAGATCTCCCCAGAAGCAGATGCTGCCATGCTTCCTGTACAGCCTGCAGAGCCATGACAATTAAAGCTCTTTTCTTCATAAGTTATGCAGTCTTATAGAAGTGTGAAAATGGACTAATACAAGGGACAAAAGGGATTAATATTAATAATAGTATTGGCAAGTTATATGCCAAAAACCTGATAATTAAAAGTGAAGTAACTATACTTTTGTGATCTCCTATTACTGTTGGAGTGGTTCTCATTATGACAAAGGCAGGCCCCTAAAGAACACGGGAGTTTTTTGAAATAGAAAAGCATCCAACAGAAAACAGAAGTTGAGGGTCAAGGGAAAAAACAGCTTCTATTTTAGAGCTTTCAAAAAATTATAACACATATCAAATCAATGATTCAGTGCAAGCTGCAACACAATACATAAAGGCTCAGGATGATTTGGTCTCTCATCTTTCAAGCTGTGCTTGTGTTCCTGGGACCTTTAAATACCTGCACTCTGAGATCTACACGGCTACTTCAGTAGTTCATGAGAGGATGATTCACTTGGAGCTGTCTTCAACCAAATACCAGGAGAAAATAGATGCCACAAAAAGCCTGGAGCGGAGAAGGTGCTTCTAGTCCGGGACCTACACGTACGATCACATTCTGTGCCTGCTTAAGTGAGAGTCTCCAAGAGGAGCCATAATGCTGGATCAGGTCAGCTCCCACTCACTGTGTGGAGAAAGAATGCCTGAAGCGACTGTCCTAGAGGGACGCTTGGGTTCCAAGGGCTTGCTGAGGCCACAGAAGGACAGTTCCTGTCATGGAATTCACATGGTCTCCAGTGGTGTCAGGCTTCAGCATGCACAGAGGGTAGAGAACTATCTGAAACTCTTTTGTGTCAATTTCAGAAACACCTCCCACACAGAGAAATATCTTGTACTTTGAAAGCATACACCTTTGAAAATATCACCCAATTTTCTGACAAAAAAAGTGCAAAGAAAAGATGGAAACCTACCCTCCGTGAAAACGTCCTCTTTTTTGTTCTTGCTGAATCCGTATGTTCTCCAATCTGAGTGGACTTGGAATGAAGCCAATCTCACAGCCCTCTTTCACCAGCCTTCCTATCCACCAATCATTGTTATATTTCTGGAATTCAGAAATAAAATTGCTATCAATAGTAATTCACTTATTTTCACATGCTGTTTATTAATCTTATGGGACAAAACAAAGTGCTATTTATATGATATGATATTATACTACATTTTACATAAACTATACTGTGTGTGTATGTGTGTGTGTGTGTGTATGTGTATGTGTATGTACACACACATACACACACACATATACATATATCTGAGGTGGATTCATAGACTAAAGCAGGGTTCTGCAGACTTTTTCTGTAAAGGTCCAAGTAATTTTAGGCTTTGTAGACCATGCGGTCTCTGTTGCTATAAGTTGAATCTGCTGTCTTGTGTGGAATCAGCCACAGACAAACACAAACAAGGGAGCATGGCTGTGTTTCAATAAAATTTTTCTTTACAAAAAAGGCAGTGGTCAGACTGGAACCGTGGGCTATAGTTTGTAAACCCCTGGACTAATATCTGGTCCTAACATTTGGATTATTTTGATCTTTGTCAAGAAGCTCTAATCAATTCTTAAAGAACATATTTTCCACGGATAAATATTCACCAGTGTAACTGGAACTCTAGAAGACAAGATGGATATGCCTGAGATAAAATAGATTTTATAGTCCATAATTTGTTAAATGCTTTCAGGTAAAAATCCCATGATACTATCTGTAGTCTACTCTCACTGGGGAAGAGTCATAATCTTTCAAATATAGATTTGCAGATTAAGGTCCATCTTACTACTTGAAGAAAAAGAAACCTACTCTTACAAAGTCTGAGCATATTATGTATTTTTACGTGAAATTTTGCAAGTAACTTCCAAACCCTCTATAGCCCAAAAGGAGCTCCAGAATTTCCATTTAAGTTCCATGACATGTAAACTCAAGACCCAAGTCCATGTGAAGCCTTCAACCAGTGTGAGGTGAGAGCCTGTCAGTGGGGGCTTATTTGGTGGATCAGCAAAATTGCATTTGTAACTATACATCTGCTAAAGCGATTTAGTTCAACCTCCCTACCTCAAAGAAAGGTTTCAGCTAGGTCATTTCTACAAGATAGGTATCACCTCTATTGTTTAAACTCTCCAGAGACGATTCTAAAAACTTCCTTTACTGTTTTTATCAGTGTTGAACAAGATAATTATCTCCTACTTTGATCCAAAACATATATATTTATAAACATGTAAATATTTTCCAAAATGTAACATTGATATGTAATATGTTTTGCTGAGCTCATAGAAAAGTGAAATTTACATATGTGTGTGTGTGTGTGTGTGTGTGTGTGTGTGTGTGTATGATTCTGATACATTATGAAGGAGGAATGGAAGGATTCATTGAATTATCACAGCATGAAGTTCTGGGTAAGCTTTAAGTTATTCTGAGTAACAGCTTCCCACTCATGAGAAACATGGTATGGTAAGAATTTGGCCTCTGTTATACACACAGCTTCTCCATGCATACTGTATGAGTGGCACATAGCATGAGATTGCATTCAAAGAAATGTAAATTGAGGGCTGGCCATGGTGGTGTATTCCTGTAATCCCAGAGCTTTCAGAGGCTAAGGTAGAAAGATCAGTTGAAGCCAGAAGTTCAAAATCAGCCAGGGCAACAGAGCCATCTATTACACAAACACATACACACACACACACACACACACACACACACACACACACAATTAGCTGGGTGTAATAGTGCATGCCTGCAGTCCTAACTACTTGGGAGGCTGAGGCTGAGATGGGAGGATCACTTGAGCCCAAGAGTTCACAAATGCAGTGAGCTGCGATTGCATCACTGCACTCCAGCCTGGAAAACAGAGCGAGACCCTGTCTCCAAAAAAAAAAAAAAGAAAAGAAGAAAAGAAATGTGAATTGACCTGATATAAAATCTTGAACAATCTAGGTCTTAACTGTTTTCCCCCATTTTCCTGTCTTTTAGTATAACAGGCCTAAAATAATAGGTCTGTTTATTTTGGAATCAGCAAAGGGCAAAGGGACCCTTTTAGAATCTTGGGTGCATAGGTCTGGAATTTAAATTTTACTGTGGTGAGGACAAAACAGACCATGAGTCATAGTTTCCTGGGGCTTAAGTTATTTCCTGAAATGAAGTTAGCCCACTGGAACACTCATTTGTTAAATGGTACCCAAGTGACTTTAAAGGGCTTGCTGAAATGGTTGATGCAACTTCCCCAAATGTTTTCACTTAGTTCTAGGAAACAGCTGAAGCACAGTGAGAATCTGACTCAGGATGAATGAAAGTTTTTTTAGTTACTTGGGAGAAAGTCACTGTAAATTCAAGAGCTTAATTTGATCATCATTTGACTTGTGTGACAGCATACTTGTAACTCTTCCCTGCATTTAAGCTTTTTTATTACTGAGAAAGTACTTAACAGGGTGCATAATAAATGGCCTCTTAAGTGATGGATGAGAGGAAAGGCTACAACTTGATTATAGAAATGTGTTCATTTGTGTTGATGTTCTGGGAGCTTGTGCCAGCTCTTTACAGAGGTCACCTTGGTGTTGTTCCAACCCTTCTCTATTTTGATTTCCCTAAAATGATTAGCACTTTCTCTTTCAAAGATGTTTTCTTATCTGATAATTTCAAAACAGGAAAACAGGCAGCTCTGGTCCACATAGGATTACCAGCTCAATGCCACACATCAAACTGCCAGACTGAAGATCAAGCACATAGCTCAAACAGCAGCCAGGACAAATTGAGACATTGATACAATGCAGGAAAGCAATAAAATATAAGGTTGGAATGTTGGTGTGAGTGAGCGTGCATATGACATGTAAGAACATCTCTTACCTTTTAAAGTGCTGCTTCTCCTTAGACATAGTGGGTGTTAGCAACTAATGAATATGGTTTGGGCATTTTGGATGGGAATGGTGAGACATAATCAACTTAACCATTCAGATGCCAGGGTATATGTCTCAGGTCAGGGGTTCTCGTCTTCCAGACAAATGTAGACATTCTCACCTCATGTACCATCAAGGAAGTAGAAGCCATGATTGAAATTGATGGGTCCTCAGTTTTCTATTATTAAGGCCCTGAAGTGTCCATGCCTGCACTGGTCTTTTCCCTGTGTGTCACAATGAATTAGCATTCCTCTTTCTATCAAAGGTCTGTCCCTCCACCAGGCGTCTTAGATCCCACCCTTCTTGGCTACTGAAACACTGTATCCTTCTGCCTATCTCTCCTTTCCCCCAATCTCTCCCCAACTCTGTTTGTTAATATCAGCAAGTACAGGCATCGAATAAGCTCCCATCTTGAAAGAAGACCTCTTTTGACTTCATACCCTCCTTCATCTACTGCTTGATCAGTGCCAACCTCAAAGGCATGGTCTCCACATGCTAAATACCCTTTCTAGCTCCCGTTCTCTCCTCATCCCACTTTGTTGGGCCTCCATCTCCACAATTCCACAGACAATGGCCCCAGTGACCTCCACGCTGCTGGTCTGGATTACAGAATGCAGAGTTTCAAAGATAATTATTTGATTACATATTTATGATGCACACCTTCTCTTAGCTGGGGTATAAGTACAGACGGGCTCCGTGACACTAAATGATATGTTTACACCAATTACATTCTCCAGGCACCTCCATTCTCAGGGTACATTTTATTGTTCCTCCTTTATGCTCTCCTTTCTTTAAGATTCTCCTCCACCCCCATCCCACAGAGCAAATGGTACCACATGGGAACATCAACCAGCGCATGTCACTGACCCCACTGGAAAACTCTGTGCATAACAGGGAAGTTCAGGAAGCTAAGGCTGACCTGACTCAGCCTAAATCTGTGCCCATTCTCCAGATGTCATCTCCTCCTCTCACTTAATTAGCTGTCCTTTGTCCTTCCAATATATTTTACTGAGTTCAGTATCTCAGCATAGAAAACATGCTTCAGTCTTTCCCATCCTAAAAAGTACAAATGTATTCAAATTTTAAAAACGCCCCCCACAACCAGGCACAGTGGCTCACACCTGTAACTCCAACACTTTGGAAGGCCGAGATGGGAGGATCGCTTGAGCTCAGGAGAGACCAGCATGGGCGACATAGGGAGATCCTGTCTCTACAAGAAATTTTTAAAAAATTATCTGGGCATGGTGGTACACGCCTGTGGTCCCAGCTCCTCAGGAGGCTGAGGCGAGAGGATTGCTTGAGCCTGGAAGGTGAGGCTGCAGTGAGCCATGATTGTGCCACTGCACTCCAGCCTGGGTGACAAAGTGACCCTGTTTTTTTTTGTTTGTTTTTGTTTTTGTTTTCATTTTTGAGAGTCTGTCTCAAAAAAGAAAAGAAAAAAAGAATACTTCCTCAACCTTATGCCATTTTTCCCTGTCTAGAAATCATTCTCTTTTTCAACTCAAATTATTTCAAAAGAACAAATTGCAATTCCTCTCCTCTAGACTCTAAGTTATGTGGGTAACGGCCTTTTAAGCATCTTCATGGGGAGTTTTACAATGTCCCAAACAGAGTGTACGTAAAAGCAAATTCATATCTATCCCTCCAACAGATCTGCTCCCCTCTGACTTCTTGTTTTGATAGCTGATACTACTCTCTATCCTTTTAAGCACCCCAGAAAAACTAGCCTCTGGCCTTCATTTCTATGTCACTTTCCCCACCCATGTGAAATCTCTAGGTCCTGTTTATTTGTCCCTCCACTCTCTCTAAGCTGCTCTCTCTCTTCATCTTCTCTGCTACAACCACTGTCCAGCCTGTAGTATGTCTCTTCAGCTCTGCAATACTCCCTTGACCACCAGAGTTCTCACTCTAAGACACAAGGCTGGTCACATCTGTCATTTATTTGAAGTTATTCTCCAGCTAACTGCCGAGTGATAAAGGGCAGGCTTCTTGCCATGGCCCAAGAGGTCCTTTACTGTCTGGTCACTGCCTGTCTGTCCTGGCCCACAACCTGTATCATTCCTTCTCCTGCCCCTGCCCACCCCCACTTCCCCACATCCCCCAGACCCCCATCCCTGCCAGCCACACTGCATTGCTTGTGGCTATTCCTTCCATGTGATGCCACCCACATCCCAGCCCAAATTCCCTCAGAGTTCACCACTTCTGTAGAGCTTTCCCATCCCCGATAGCCTCCCTCCTCAGTCAGAGAATCCCTCTTCCTCTTTCCTCAGGCTCCCACAACACCCATTCAGTTTTTCTGTAACAGAACTTGTCATCTCGTGCATAAACTCTGTACTTGTCTGTCTCTCACCCCGCTGGAGCTCCCTGCCAGCGGGGACAGTGATCCTTATGTCTGATCCCCCAGTGCCTAGCAAAATGTCTGACATGATGCAGCTTCTTAAATATAATTTTTTCTTTGAATGATTATACACTCTATTGTTGGTTCCATGGTCGAGGTGCACAGGACTCTAGTCTACATGTCTATAATTACAACATCACCTGTAAATAGTCCCTTCTGGGTAGGTGCCATACCACCGAACTCACATTTTCCTCAGTCTCAGCCTCCCAAAGTACTGAGATTACAGGCATGAGCCACGGGCGCCCGGCCCCCTGCTACGATTTTAAGATTGACTGTGATTTAATGTTGTAAGTGTGTGATAATGCAAGCAATGATCTCAGACTTCTCAATCTTGATGAGAATGACTAGATTTGGAAGGCCCAGAAAATTAAATGAGGTACCACACTGGCAGCTCCTAGGGTCTCCTCTCTGGCTAGTTTGGCTCAGAGCTGATTCCCAGGTTCAGCTTTTTGGCAGGTGAAGGGATGCAGTATGTTCCACATTTACCTCTTTAATGTGTAGAAAGTCCTTAGCATCAAAGGAGATGGCTGTGCTTGGAACAGGCACATCCTCATCCAGGGCGCCGCAGTAGCTCACATTTGTCTTCACGGCAAATGCTACAGGTTTGGACTAGGGACAGAATCATGGAATAAGGAATGAGGAAGGGAGGAGAGAGGATCATTTTTCATATTGAAACTCTAATAAGATGACTGATAGTACCAGGTAGTAAGAGAAAAACTTTCCAAAGAGGGATCTCAAATGAGTTTTACATTCCCAGGCAATATCGAGAAACCCGCAGAGATGACTGTGAAAATGATTTGGTCCTATCAGCCCAATCATTTTTCCTCTCCTGCAATACTTTCCCATATTCCAATATTTCAAATTTTAAAATGTGCTCTAAAGTACTGGGAGGGATAGACAAAGGCGGAGGAGAAGGACAGTCCCTTCTCCAATCTTAAAGTCTGTGTTTATTTTAAATGATAACTGATACCTTCTTACCTTGGAATACAGGAAATATGTGCTAGGTCTTTAAAAAAATGTGGAAAGAGGATAAAATAGTATTTTTGAAATAGCCCAGATTTGAAAACCTGTGGTATTCTATACAGCAGAATACCTGGTCCTGCCAGAGAAAAGAAGGGTTAGTCAGCATCAAAGCTGACGGGCAGGGCTCTTCACAGATCATCTTCTCTCTAGGGAACAAAGCTGGTTTTGAAATTCTTTTTACACAAATTCCTCTCAGCAAAGTGTTCTCAGGCTGGCACTGCCCTGTGGGGACACGTAAACCACCAGCCTAATCAAACAGTGCCGCCACCCACATCTGGGTAACCACAATGGCCACAAAACAGATTCTGAAAGAAAATTTTATAACAAAAATTAGCTACAGTGAGACATAAGATTCCTGAAAGTGTGACCTGCTTTGTTACCAGCTTATTTATTCATGCTGGGAACCTGACTGGGGGACAGCAGTTGAGGCTGGAACCTCACTGATGCCCCTTTATATATACTGCAAGAAAAGCCCCTTCCACCAATAAAGCACAGACATCATAGGTGTTGAAGCAAATGAAGACACCTCATTTGCCTGCACTGTTCTCCTCCCACCTCTTTTTTTTTTTTTTTTTTTTTTTTTGAGATAGAGCCTGGCCCTGTCACCCAGGCTGGAGTGCAAAGGTGTGATCTTGGCTCACTGAAACCTCTGCCTCCTGGGTTCAATTGATTCTCCTGCCTCAGCCTCCCAAGTAGCTAAGATTATAGGTACGTGCCACCACGCCTGACTAATTTTTTGTATCTTTAGTAGAGACGGGGTTTCACCATGTTGGCCAGGCTGATATCAAACTCCTGACCTTGTGATCCGCCCACCTCATTCTCCCAAAGTGCTGGGATTACAGGTATGAGCCTCCATGCCTGACCCGTCTTTTTTTTTTTTTTTTTTTTTTTTGAGATAGGGTCTTGCTCTTTCCCAGGCTGGAGTGTAGTGGTGTAATCTCAGTTCACTGCAGCCTTTATTTCCTGGGCTCAGGTGATCCTCCCACCTTAGCCTCCTAAGTAGCTGGAATTACAGGTGTCAGCCACCACGTACAGCCTGTCACCTCTAAAGATTTTACAATAAAAATAGAAACGGGAAGGAATTCACTTTATTTGGGCTTCTGTTTTTTCTTCTTCTAAAAATCAGAAAGACTGAATCAATATACCTTAGGAGTCTTTCATGGAGGGCAAAGAGGACAGATGGGCCATGACCTTGTCTGGTCTTGTATTTTGCTATTGCGCATAAAATGTCATTGCAGAAAAGCCATCTGTGCTTCAGTAAGTAAGTAAATAAATAAATAAAAGGTTGGAAGCCTGTAGATGGGAGATCCCTAGTGACTTTTCTGGTTCTTTTAACCATGCAATTGGTTCTTTGCTGCTTCCTACGGAGGCCTCTCCTTCTGGAATATCTGAAGTTCTATTTTGGCAACGGTCTTTATTGCTCATCTTTGCTGTACTTCTCAGAGTTGTTCAAAGTTCTGAACTTCACAGTGAACTTGAGGTGGGATACTGAAAGCAAGAGAGAAGAATAGAGAAACCAATAGGGAGATCCATGGAGCAACAGCACAGGTGTGGCCTGTCATAAAGGTTGAGGTAATGGACGAGGAGGGGCCGAGAACAGGTAGGGTGAGCTGGTACCTGGGAGGCTCTCTGCCAACACTGGGCATGGGAGGCTTGATATTGCTAAGTTGGAAGATGACCAATAATTCACCACCAAACCAAATATAAAATGAAGGTTTTCAGGAAATGCCCCTTTGGAGATGTTGCTAACCTCACTTAGAGGTGAAAGGATCAGAGAGCCTCCCAATCTGGAGCCTTATTGGAATAATCATAAAACAATTATTCCAGAAAAATGTGAGGTAGGGGAAGAGCAGCTGGTAGCCACTGAGCAATGACCCACTTTCGAATCAAAGAGAGGGAAAGAGAGTCACCTTTGCTCTCTCAAGCTGGATAGCTGCTTGCTGTTCTCTCTCTTGTCGAATTGCTTCCCGGTCCTCTTCCAAAGAGACATCGGAGTCAGACGGCCTGCTTGTGTAGGAATCCGCTGAACCCTGGAAAGGAAAACGGAATAGTTTGCGATGATGGGTAGCTTCTTAAATTGTCACATCCATAACAGTATCCTGAGGCAAGTTCTTTTCATTTGCCTAAAATTTGATGCACACACTTCATGCCTTATTGCAGATATAAATTTAGATGGCAGAATATAGTTAAGCATCTGAGTTATTCAGAAAGTAACAATGTTGTGAAGAAAAATATTTTGACTAAGTGCTAGGAAGTAAACTGCAATGAAATTATGTGATAGCCCCAATTCTTCTTGTTTTGTGCTATATTAAGCCCATATCACTTGTGAAACGTTAGTTTTCACCCATCTTCTCTTTTGCATATACATCTAAAGGAAAAAGAGGCTCAGCTTATTATAAAAGTTAAATCCTAACTGTATCTTGGGCTATGGATCATCTATTTGTCTAAGATTTCAATACAGCAAAGCATCATCCTACATTAGTAAAATGATTTTCCAGTTTCAATGTCAACACTATTGAACTCTTTCACTACTAAAACTTCAATCATTGTCCTGCAGCAGCCAGCTCAGACATGGCCAGCGAGAACACTGAGCAGAAAAACAACCTTGAGGATGAAAACAGGGATGTTCTCAGTTGACGCCCACACTAGAAGAGCTACTTAAACAGCGCTGAAATCCAGTCTGACTGGTGTGATCAAGGTAAAGAGTTAACCACTCCCTTCCTGCTTCCCCAGAAAAACCCTGGAGCTTTGTCTTACAGCTGCTACAGGACATCAGCCTTACAGTTTCCTTAAGCTGCATTAGAGGTCGATATTTGCGTAGATGGTAACATTTACACAGCAGAGGTATTGGGAGGACTGGTGTATTTGACATGCTTCATAAACCATGCACAGGTTTTGAAAAAAATCTATCCATGTAGCTGAGAATTTGCTGTCCACTAGAGGAAAAAAAAGCTTTAAGAAAGAGTTGACTGCTGAATCTGGCCCTTTGAAAGTTTTTCTCCATGTAGAAATGTTTATTTGTGAATTTGCTGCCTTTAAGGGTAACTTTCTGTCTCAGTAGAGGACATCATTCTAGTAGGGGTGGTCTTTCCCATCATAGAAAAATCCCAGCACAGATTTTCCTGGCAGCCTAGAACAAGAACCCATCATTAGCATTTTTATCAGAGTGCCCAGTCAAGCCCTGGTTCTAAACTTTGCCTCTGCAACATACTGCCGAAAACTTTATACAAGTTATTGGATCACTCTGAGACGGTCTCCTCATCTATTAAAGAGGGACACTGCCACCGGGCGGCTCATGCCTGTAATCCCAGCACTTTGGGAGGCTGAGGCGAGTGATCACGAGGTCAAGAGATCAAGACCATCCTGGCCAACATGGTGAAACCCCATCTCTACTAAAAATACAAAAATTAGCTGGGCGTGGTGGCACGCAGCTGTAGTCCCAGCTCCTTGGGAGGCTGAGGCAGGAGAATCACTTGAGCCCAGGAGGTGGAGGTTGCAGTGAGCCGAGATCATGCCAGTACACTCCAGCCTGGCAACAAAGCAAGACTCCGGCTCCCCCCCCCCCAAAAAAAAAAAAAGAGGGACACTGCCTACCTCCCAGGATTAAATGGAACAAGATATAATAAGCAGCTAATATTTTCTGAGTTCTTGCTATCACACCAGCATGGGCCTAGTTGCTTTGTACACTTTATCTCACTAAATCCTCACAGCAGTGGGAAAGCTGAGATTCGAACTCAGGTAGTTCAGCCTTAGAGCCAGCAGATTCAAATCCCATGCTGAACTGCGTTTGACATTAAAATACCTACTCCAGGACCTGGCACATAATAGGCACACAATAAATCAGCTTTTTCATCCTCATTTCCTAGTACTGACGTTTTCACATTGATAAAAACAAAAAGCATTAATTTCTCCATGATTATATATATACAATAACCCACCTTGAAATGTAGCCATTTGTCTTACTATATTAACTGCATAGAAAATGTACTATAAGCCTGATAACTGCAATGTGTCCAAATCCATATACTTTACATAGTGCTTCTGAAAGTGCCCTTTGCAGAGGAAATGTGTTTGTTAACCGAATTATAATCAAATTCCTCTGTGCAAATCTATTAGGAAAAAATTTTGGACCTACAAAATGGATAAGTGCAGAGTGACTGTTTCATAGATGTATGCATTGCCTAAAAAGAGAGCCATCCTGAAGTCCTTTAAAGCAGAGTTCTCTCAGAACACATCTTTTGTCTGAATTTAGGTACACCTGCATAAAATCTAAGGTAAGAGAGAAAAAAAAAAGTTTCAATTTTTTCTTTATTTTTTTTGTAGAGATGGGGCTTTGTCATGTTGCCCAGGCTGGTCTTGAACTCCTAGGCTCAGGCGATCCTCTTGCCTCAGCCCCCCAAAGTGCTGGGATTACAGGTATGAACCACTGTGCCTGACCTAGTGTTTCTAAAATATCTACCAAAACAGTTTGGAGTTAGTCCTAGGCAATGCTTTGCTGGAAATGTGATATGTGTGATGAACCATTCTCAGGGAGCTGGACTGGCTGTTGTGAAGACATCAGGACCACCAAGTGAGATTATGGTATGTAAGTTGGGAAGAAGGCACTTGCCTGGTTTTGAAAACATGTCCTGGGATGGTTAGTGCCTACAATTCACGAAAAATGCAAGCTGCCTGACGGGGCAGTGAGTCAAGCAGCTGAATACACACTTCCCTACTGCCACGAGAAGATACCTGATTTCCTGAAACTACCTTAACAACTTTTCAAACCCCTGCATTCAATTTTCTCTGAGTACACAAAAAGTGACTCCGGAACTCCTGCAGATGAACTTTATGTTGAAATGTGAACAACATTGTCAGAATCTCAAAACTATCTAATAAACTCTACTAGGGCCAAATATGTAGAAGCAGAAGTTTCTGTTTCCTTCCTGTTTCCCATTGGTAGAGGGAAAAATAAAGCACTGTGATACCCATTTTCATAATTAGTGTTATATCATCACAACATTTATTTTGTTTTTTTTTCCTTCAATGTCATCCACGTTGCTTTGTATATGAAAAAGGAGAAGTCCAACATTCAAGAGCCCAAATTTGGCCCATAAATATGTTCTGCTGGGTTGGTACTGGCTTGGTTTCTTGTTATTTATTTTTGGTTTGGTTTTGGTTTATTTTGTTTCAACCAGTTGAAAGGGAGTATGAACATGTTCCAGAAAAAAAGGAAGGAAAAGATAAAGGAAGGGATCTGTGTTATTTACAAAGGCATAGAGGGAAGAGCAGGTGAGCTAGAGAGAGGCCAGAAGGAGACTGCCTGCGCCTGACCGCTGGAAGCATCCAGGAAGAGCAGGAGGACATGCGAAGCTTAGTAAGACCAGGACAGGTTGGAGAGGGATCAGCCAGAGGTCTGGTTAAATAGTTAATGATCAAAAAGAGAGAGAAATGGCAAGAAGGAAAGAATGTTAGGTGCTAACAGAATACAACTGAAGACGTAAACTTTACTAGGCCTGGTCAAAGCTGGACAGGCCTGATGGAAGCCCCATCAGCTTATAATTTTCTAGAATTCTATTTCATAAAACAGGTAGGAGCAAGCTACCCATGTATCAAGTGATATAAAACTGGGCTGTTAACCCACGTGCAAGAAACATGAGAGTGATTAGTCCCTCAAAAGCTCTTATGCAGACAGCTCTACAGGACATACCATGGAGTGACAAAGTCATATTGCAGTGAGCCAAGATCATGCCACTGCACTCCAGCCTGGGGGACAGAGCCAGACCCTGCCTCAAAAAAAAAAAAAAAAATGGTATTTTGGTTCAGACTCTTTTTCCCTTTGGGTTATGTTGAAAATAGATTCCAGCCTCACACCTTTCATGAATCTTCTTGAATACAAAATGCAAAATGCAGACAGAAACATTGGAAAATCAGCTAGCTATTGTTTTCTGAGAGAAGGAAGGTATTCTCAAGTCAAACAACTTAAAGGCTTCTTCTCATTTGCAGAGAGAGGGCATATGATATCAACAGAACTGCAGCCACAGCTGTTGGAGCCAGACCGTATTGGGTTTGACACTGTCACCAATTCTAGCTGGCTGTGAATCTGAAGCAAGTTATTTATTTTAACCTTTTGAGTCCTAATTTCGTCTCTTAGAAAATGCAGATAATAATTCAAACCTTGTAGAGTTTCCTGGTGTTTGGCTTCAGATGAAACATATTTCTTTTACCATCATGAAGGAAATTCAGAAAATACCAGCAATTAAACTTTGATCCACTAATTAAAGGTTTGGCAGCTTTTTCACATTGAATTCTTGGCTGCCCAAGAGTTTTATGATTTATATCTTGTTCTTTTTTTCTAAATAGCTTTACTGACATATAACTTACATACATAAAATTCACACATTTAAATTCAATAATTTTAATAAAATTACAGAACACAATTTATACCACAATCTAATAGAACATTTCTAACACCTCAAAAGGAGCCTTGTGCCTATGTGCAGTCATTCTCCATTCCCAGCTCAGGGCTAGGCATCTACTTTCTTATCCTGTCCTTTTAAAACTGAAATAGACTCTCTTTTGTAGTGAGCACTTTTAGTATTTAGGCATATCATTAAATTATAGCAAGGAAAAGCAAGGGTCTACAAATATTTGATTTTAAAATGCAACCAGGCCGGGCATGATAGCTCATGCCTGAAATCCCAGCACTCTGGGAGGCTGAGGCAGGAGGACTCTTTGAGCCCAGGAGTTAGAGACCAGCCTAGGTAACATAGTAAGGCCCCATATCTACAAAAAATAAATTTTAAATAAATAGTCAGGCATGATAGCGTGCACCTATAGTCCCACTACTTAGGAGGCTGAGGTGGGAGAATTGCTTGAGCCCAGGAGGTCCAGGCTGCAGGTCACTCTTATTGAATTGAAGACCTACAGTTCAGCCCCAGCTGTTAATCTGACTAAGGTTCCTTTTAGGTTTCAAAGAGCAGTCAAGGGTAGCAAAGGAACATGTTCATAAAAGGCTGTAGAGGGAAGTGAAAGAGAATGAATGTTTGCT